TGTGAGTGTACTTTTGTTGTTACCTGCATCTTAGAGCAGCCGCTAGATGGTGGTCGGTTTCGGGTGTTTAGGGGTGCGGTACACCAAGACAATAAGACAAGCATTCCATCCTTTTAACTGCAACCGGCACAAAGAGAGTGGGGGAACTGCGAGTCTGAGTCCTCCACGGCTTCGCACTGTAAGTCGTTTTGGTAATACAGGATTACCCCTCTTTCTTTTGGTGGGCATCTCTTTCCGGATCAGCGACAAGCCGTGTAGCGAAAATTCAGCGTTCGTCATTCCCGTGTGTAACCACGTCTCGGTGATACCAATGACTTCATACGACCCGGAAGTTTGGCGATCTTTCAGTTCAGCCAGTTTGTTAGAAAGTCCCTGAGCATTTGTATACAAGCAGGCCAGTTTCACGGTCTCTAGGAGCCCACAGAGGAGTGAAGCGTTCACGTGTGGGAGAATGCCGACTGATGTGAGGTCGGCGGTTACTCGTCTTTTGACGGGACAATGATACCTCGTTTACAACTTGATTCGGATAAGATGCGTTCCAACCTTCGTTAAGATCTACGTCAGAGTCATTTAAAGCAGCAGTCAAGTTACGCTTCTATACATTCGTCGGTATGCTTACTGCTTCAGTTGCTTTAATATTTGGGCTGCGTAAAGCGTTTGCAACCTTTAACCGAATTTCAGATGGAAGATTTTTCCGATTCCTCCGCCATCGAGCCAAAACATCCTATGCTTGTTGCTCTGACTGAACCAGACGTTTTAGGATTCTAGGGTCGCATCCTCTATACTTTGGTTAGAGAGGTATCCTGGTGAGTGATAGTGCAACAATATTATCCGAAGAAAGTGTTTCACGAATGAACCGCCACTGTTCTAACTCGTGCTTCACGGTATCTTGAACATCGTTAGAAGGATGTTCTGGCACGCCATGCATGAAGTATGTGTTCAGGCGGTCTTGCTTGCTGTGCCTATCTTCGGTGTTGCTTTTTAATTGTCGCGCGCTCCAAGGGACATCAGGATAGTTACGTATCCCACAGGATCCATGTTTTAGCGCGCTTGCGGAGAGCAAAACGTTTTCTACATTGGTGGAGGATTCTAGTCTTGCTCTAATATGTCTGGGTTCGCTATAGTGTGGCGAGTTCGGATGACGAGTAATTCGTGATAAGTGTATAGACTTGGCTTTGATACTCATCTGCATGTACAATGAGTTCCGTTGGCCTTGGTCGTCTGATAATTGATCCCGCAATTTATGGCGGTAGGTTCAGGGACATTTGAACATACAACAGTCCGCGCACTGTTGTTGGATCCCTTTTTCGTTGATCTACAAGCTATGGTACTCGTTTGTCCTGACTTGCTGACAAGTGCTGATTGTTTGCTGTTTGTCCCTCTATTCGCATTAACAGTGTTTACCATGGAAGAGGCCGCAACGGCGGTCTCTCGGTTGACCTGTGCAACAATCTCTGCATATGTAACCGATGTTCTGGGAGGCTTAATCTCGACAAGAGACATTTGAGCTACAGGTACGGAAGGTTGGCGTTCGGCTGCTCCAACCTTAAGTGGAATTTGCTTAACCAGACGTTTTGAGTGGTGCCTGATTTTCGTTGACATGAGTACTGTTTGACTCTCGTAGGTAAGGTCTGTTTTCGCCCGGTGTTCTACCAAAGTTGGAGAATTTCTCGACGAGTTCAATCTGGTCCCAACAAAAGTCAACGCAGTGTCGGGTCTCTTACAACCTTGGAGAACTATTTTGCATTTCTACAGTGTAAAGGAAAGCCCGAAAAGACTGATAGGCAATACTAATTTGTCCAGTGCAATTTGACACGTTTGAAAACAGTCGCAGATAGAGGCAATATTCTCCTCGTACTCCAAGTCCAGAAGTCATTTATCTGGGAACACCGCGTCTTGCGGTTAGTCTGCAGTGAACGTAGTTTCCCCAACTACGTCAATGGAAAGTTGACAGAGGGTATCCTTGCCTCACACCACTGGAGACATTGTAAGGCGGTTACAGTTTATCGTAAGCCTTCACTTTGCTTGAAATAAGCGAGTAAAGCGCCCTGATATTGCTTACATACTTTTCCGGCATATGTTTCCCAAGTAGGCAGTCCCAAAGTCACATTGATTAACCGAATCTAAGACACCTTGGATGGCTAGGAACACTACGACGGTGACTCGCCAATAAATAAGACAGCGTTTCAATTATTGAAGTAATGTGAAGAGGTGATAAAACCAGCCGCCAATTCAACAAAGCCGGTTTGCTCCTGGCAAATCCGGTTTTCACGAATGTCAGTGATTTAATGAAAATAGACAGAGGTGAGCATCTTGTAAGCATTGGATGTCAGACTGATCCCTCTATGATTGTCGCATTCCGAACGAGAAACCCCTGAATTTTCGAAGTATTATCGAACTGATCCTGTCTTCTAGAACAGCTTCCTTCTCCCACAGCTACATAACTGTTATGCCGAGCATCTACTAGAGCAAGTCACCAAATTTGAAAATAGCTGGAGGGATTCTATCTGCTCCAGCGTCCTTAGTTACTTTTAAAAGTCTGATCTCAGGTTCGACTTCTGCGTGTGAGAGCGGATCCACGGAGACCGTCCAGGGAGTAGGGAGTTCAATGGACGGTGAACAAGCTGACAACACTGATTGCTTGGACTGCATTTCAAAGTGTTCGACCAGATGATCCAAGCGCTTTGATAAACTGTAGATCGGCTATCCACTCTCGTAGCGTATCGTCTCACCAACACAACTTCTCCTACTGTCCGTTGCTACATTAGAAGGAACAACAGGTTGGTTGCCAAGAGCCCTGGCTGTCTCCATCTCCGATGAACGATGAGACAACCGCCCTTCGCAGTCTCGATTCAGACGAGCACGTAGTTTCGCCAAGTGGTCTTTCTGAATCGCGCTGTGTTCGCTTCCAGCCGGAATATGTCGGCTGGCATCCTTGAGTTCCAGAGACTGTAAAGTGACCTAGTGGCAACTTGATTTGCCATACGAAGACTTGGCTAATAGTAATAAGGTCTGTTTAATTTGCGACCCGTGTTCCTCTACTGTATTCAGAGAACGCTTGCTAAGCCCGGATGCCAGCGTACTTTGATACATATTCCGGACATTTGGCTGCGCCAGTTAGCCCGTATCTATACACACAGCGAGGCCGCATACGCCCACCGAAGCAAACTGTAAATCGGGGCACAAACCAGTGCCTGATCAGAGTTCACGCTCATGCTCCAAATTGTGCGACGGTTTTGGAAATAACCTCTCCAGCAGTAAATGATCGCGATGTTGTCGACTTGCATCCACGGCTGGTTTCAGGCGGGTGGGCGCCAAGTCACCCCTCTGCTGGTGCTGTGTTCGAAGTTAGTGCTCGCGAGAAATAGATGAGAGTCTTCACACAGTTGTAGCAAGCGCTTGCCATTATTATTACGGGAAGCTACACCGTGCTGGTTGCACAGAGGAAGCATGCCAGTGGACAGTTTTCCAACCTGGGCTTTCAGATCGCCAATCAAGATCCCATTACTCGTACTACTTCTGTGACGAAGGAGCTCGTTGGTGATAGAATTCATTTTTCACCGAATCATCGATACAATTTTAGGGCTTGTACTCCGAAATTGTAAACAGGTACCAATTGTCTGCGCGCGAATTCGAATCTACGAACGAGCAAAGCTAATGTGGTGGCGCACATCCGGCTGTTCATTGGGATACGGTTAGCCAGGGCAGCTTCCGAGCACTCAAGTCAATGCCTAAACGGGATTGCTCCTTATTTGAAGCTGCTTTAGCTCCAGACAAACGCCATGTAAACATGTCGCCAGTGTCATTATTGCTGGATAGCAGGGTAATCATGGAACACAAACCTTGCAAGCGAGTTTCCGGTAAGCATCAAATGCCGATCGACAGGCTCCCTAGTGTCTAAACAAGTGCTACCTGTTGGCCAATCTTCAACAAAGTGCGCACGCTGAGGCGTGCCAATTTTAGCTAGGGTTGGGGCTCCAAAGATAAACGCGTGAACTTAATTCGTCCTCTGGCTTGAACACCGACTTTTCGACTGAACTGGAGCGACGCACTGAGATTGCATGTGAGTCGAAACTAGTAGACAACCGACAACAGTAGCAAGATGGGGGAGGGACAGAAATTGGGTAGCTGAATCCAGGTTGGATACAAATGAAGTTGAAGTGGGACGATAATGATGCAAATGTGTAAGAGGGTGGATAAGATGACGGGAAGGCTTGAGCACACATATCCAAAGCTGTATTTAATCTGCTTGATGCAGCAGGTAGGACGCCATTTATTATCCACTGCGACAGCCAGAGCATCAAGAGATCGTATGAAGGGAAGTCCACAGAATTGCATTGCGAAGGCAGGACACTGTCAGGTTTCCCATGCCTAGACAGGAGAAAGATTGGTGGTCTCAAACAATGCCTTGCAGCAAAGCAATGGGTTGTGGTGCTGTGTTACAGGGGTTTCGTTTCATATAAAAAAGAGCCACCCTCACTCCAACCAGCAAGCTAGAGGACCAGGAGACTGGGTTTATCTGGCTTCTAATCATTGATCGATCAGATATGAGTGGCTCAAAAGATGCAGAAAGCACCAACTCGCAAAGACCAATGGATCATTGAGGTGAACAAACCATCGCACCACCATAAGGTTCAACCTCATTCCATGGATTTCAAAGGTCAAGGAGTGTAAGTACTCACTGATTTTCAAACCCATACAATCATTCGCATATGTGGCATGCACAGGTTGAACAGAATTAACAGGCACAAGTATGATAGCTCATGGTGCGATTCGCCTAAAGCCCACGTCTCTTTTACTCTGCTTTCCCTCAAACATCAGAAAACCGTCTCACAGCTAGAATCAGTACACGAGTGCGGCCTGCCACTCACAAAGGATAGACACTTTTCCATATTCCTCTGCAAGATCCATACGAGTAACAAAATGATTCGTGTGTAAGATTCGTATAGGGTTCATGTGTATTTTTGCTATCCAGCATCAAATTTTGAATTCTATCACAGGTACTGAGAACATCGACGTATGCTACAGTGAGTCTCATCACGTGCCACCAATCTACCATCGTACAAGGTATAATTCCTAGTTTACTGCCAGTCTCCCTTTGCGAAGTACGTGTATCTGGAGGTGATTGTGTACATAAAAGCCGGTGTATTCCAACCATATACAAATTTTATGGACTAACTGCGAAGCTATTGTAAACCCTCTTCTCATTCGGTGTTTTGCGTCGTAAACACAGTTCGATTTAAGGTCCCAACGCAAGTTCGCGACATAATATCGTTTAAGCAAGCTGAATACATGGATGTGCGAGGACATGCGCCGAGTATCAACGGCTGCAAAAGATGAACAACCCTGCGCACCTAGTTTTGGTACATGTGCAATCGCACATAAACCAATACAAATTCTATTCATGGCCAGTTATGTTGCACCTTCCATTTGCGATGCTGTATCCACGAAGTTAATTGAATCAAAGGCTAACCTACATCTAGACTCTCGCATCCTCATCCAGTTCCGCCGCTGCAGCTGAAACCTTGCACTGGTGAGTCACAAACTAAAAGCTCGGATATTCCTATCGGTGTCGGCAGTGTGGGAATCCCCTCATACGACCGCATTAGATTCCCACACGTTTGGTCATTCATCCAACACCATTTTCGCTGTTCATTCTTCAGAGGGGTGCAAAGCGAGTCAAGTGCGCTGCATGAGTGAGTCTAGCTTGTTAATTTCTACCGAATGAGTGCCGTCGTGTGACAGCAATTGCTCTGGTCTCGTGCCTAACTTGCTACGTATTTTATACCTATTGCTTTTCGTATCACCAGGTGAATGTAATGTGCATGCGGATGAGTGTGGAAGTGAGTTGGCGTAATTTTGTTTTAGTTCGCTTCTTTCCATACAATTAGCGGGGAACAGCCAGCCACCGGATCATTGTTTTTCCTACCAGCTGCTCAAAATATAGCCTTATATATATATATATATATATATATATATATATATATATATATGCATATTTAACCATTTTTAAACTGTGCATCAAAAACTCGTTAGCTTTTCGCGCTAACATCTATTCATGTTACTCTCGAGATTCGGACGAGTTTTGCATTGTGTCTTCATCACGAGGTTTGCTACGGTAGGTTTTATTTCTCAAATCGTGTGGCTACTGGATACTCGGTGCTGATGTCAGGTGATTACTCATCAAGCTGTAAGATAATTTTGCTCATATTTACAACATATTCAGTACCCTATACGGTGAAATGTTCATGTGAGTTGCACGTGTTTTGCTCCTTTGCTTGTACTTACCCTAGTGTTAACAGTTCCATGCTCCCTTGATGCCATGTTTCACACGCATGTTCATCCGATACTTCTACTATATTTGATATCCGAAGTTCGGTGTGGAGCTAACTCTTCACATCTAACATATGTATGTGTCTTGAGTATCTGTTTAACTCTTCTCCTTCGTAGCTGGATGTACGAACGGCCTTGGTTATTGCATGGGTGAGTCGTGTGTTTAGTGTGCATGGGTGTAGTTGCAGTCCTGAGTCCGATTTGCTCATCGTTGTGAACGGAGAGCAAAGGATTGTAAACTCTGCGTAAAACGATCATACCTAGTCACTGCGCAGGTGTCTGGTATTGTGAAACGTATAGAGTAAATCCTTAGCCAGTATACCTGTAAATTTTATGATACCGGATACAAGTCATCAAGTAAGACTTACCTATTCCCCAACGCAGAATACTGCATGCGCCCGTTTGACCAATAATGTGAGTTTAATCTGTAGTTCATTATGCTCGATTGTTTTCGTTGCTTCATGTCTGGTGTGCACTCCTCAACCATAATTGAACACTAATCTCCAAATCCCAGTTGGTAAGTACAGAGACCGTGTTTCACTTGTGTGTTAGGGTTCACGGTCTTTGACCCCTGTGTATACGCAGTCTTAGTACTAGCATATTCAACCACTCCAAAAATGTCACAACTTTACGCATCCGATTACCCAATTCAGTTGTACGCTCACTCACCTCGGTATTCACACACCCGATCAGTTTGTGCCTCTTATCATAATGGTATCACATCCTTCGGTGCGCGCATTGCAGCACTGATTCAAGCTAACATATTATGAACGGTTGATCAGAAGCAGTCAAAGCTGGGCAGCGTCCAACCTTACGTCGCATCTATAAAGCCACCGAGGTTGTAACCGTGCAGCAATATCGATTAGCGTTGTTTATAACCTTGCAAGTAGGAATACAACAGCAGCCTGCCTTGCACTCACCACTGCAACGCACTTGTTAGTGTGCGATCTGTATTCGGTGCATTTTTGTTTTTAGCAATTTCAGCTGTGGCCCATTTCACAAGAACAAAAGTCCGTATCGTTTCTGTTTGCACTGTTAATTTTGTAACGCGTCAGTAGCAAAGTACACCATCAACTACTGCAGCCTGCTCTTCTAACTTATAGCTTTCGGTGGTTCATGAAATGGCTGGTTGCTTCTTGCTTGCTTGCAGCGTGGTGAACTGCGTGGTCATCACATCAAAATTCCACCAATACCGTCCGTTTTTCCCAGCATAACGACTAGGCAGTATCCATCAGATGATTCCGCCACATGACCAGGTGTTTACGAGCAGCGTGTGTATTTTCGGAGTGAATGGGGTTGAAATCTGATTGATCCACCTCTCCTTTCCCTGTGACATCTAATCATCCATTTTCCTACTCCCAACATGCTTCATTAAGCGAGTTGAAAAATGAGTAATATAACATGGAAATCTGAACCGGATTGCTCTATTCTATTCTAAGTCAATTTATGGGAGGAAGCATTGTAAGTGAGAACAAACCAAACTTACAGTGAGCCTGTGCGCAGTATCGTGTGGCAATTGACCCTAAGTACACTGGTGACCTGCGAGTACCTGCACTCTGAGTTAAGATATTTTCCTTATGCACCCACAAGGGTGAATATTCAACCCTAGCGTAGACGTCACCGACAGGGATAAATACTGAAAACAATGAACAATAACTTCATCAATATCCCTTTTTGTGGTCTGGTGGGGTTATCGAAAATGTTTATAAACCGTTGATACTTTGAAAGTGAGACTGATATTTTATTCCACTGTAGTCCTATAATCCACGTAGTTGCACAGCACTCACAGGTAACTGTAAATAAATGCAAGGTACATTCCAGTAGGATGGAGAGATAGGGCTACCTCACAAAAAGTACATGAATGAATGTATCATCCACCTGTTTTACAAAAACGGCTAGTGGCGAAGCAGTAACGACTGATTTAGAGAAAGCGTTCCACTCGTGACATACAAGTACGGAAGAGAAGTTTCTGCGGCCCTCCAGACGGCTGGGCATTTCTAGTAATTTCATATAATGACCTCACAGGTTTGTATTATAGCTGAGATGCATTAACGAGTCGCACACATGATATGCATCTTGAAGAGTCAGCTAAGCCATTATCAGTTCGCCTCGTAATCGGCGATACTGACCGCTGAGTATTAAAACGTTTCAGCCTTTGCATGTATGAGAGATTGCGCCTTCCAAGCAAGTATTTTATACGACCGACTTTCAGGCTGCCCCCGCGCATTGAGGTCGTGTTTCAGCCAAGGACGCCAGATTGCTAGTTTGTATTCCACATAGGGGCGAAAATGCGCACTGAGCATCTGTCGGAATATAGAGATGTCTACTTATCCGAATGCCCAACTCAACAGCCCGACGCGTTGACCTAACTAATATCACTAAATTATTTAATAACCAGATGGAAATGCGTTGTTGCGCTCCTGAAAACACTGCACATCTGTTTGAGATCCCAGGCCTAGAACCCGAGACCCTCTTTGTAGGAATGAGGACAAAATGTCTCCCTAAAAACACAATAATTCCTGGTTTGTGAAATATATTTTTCCAATAAATTCTGTAAACTGGTTACTCTACGTAACGTAATCTTTCGAAAGAAGAATACCTGAAGCTTATACGCTGGAACTTCATAGGTCGCACAACAGTAGTTCCCGGTTCACACAACCGAAAGCGTTGCTAAAATCCAGGAAGCAAATAAAAACAGCTTTGTTCTTGCCATCCATTGCTGAGAGCACAGTATGTACGAGACTGCTACTGCCTCTAAGCTAGACTTTAAGCTAGGAGATGCAAACTAAGGTGGGTCATCCAAATACATCTGGGCTGAGATCGTTTACAAATAAGCGTCTCAAAGTTTTCCAAACCAACAGGCTTGTGAGCGATTAGCAGGTAATTGTTGGTTAGTTTCTGGAGTGATACTTGCGCTTCACCAACCGTTAGCTGCCTTGTACTGCTTAAAGCGTAGTGTGCATTAGTCGGTGAGAGGCTGTGCCCAGTAACTGCACAATCCTGGAGAACGACAGGAGAGAGCTAAACCCGACCGGGTGCTTTCTTCATCTTTAACCCGACTAGTTCCCTGTGTACTTCAAAGGTGTTCATACGAGGAGGGTTATCTGAAGGTAGCTGTAACTCAGCAGACGATATATCAATGGATGAAGTGTTACGTGGTCAAAAAATTGGGGTTCGGTTCTGTCACATTCGGAGTTTAATGCGTAACTTCACAGATGACTCTACCTAACTATTACGGCAATTGCCATATTACACGATTAACATTGTTTCCATGTATAGATCGAGGGCAGATATGGTTGAGGTGATGCAATTCGATGCTAATATCCATCGATAGTAACATTACTTATGTAAGTTCTTTGCGTGTAAAAGGTTTTCTGTAAGCATGCACAGTCGTTTGGGACGGTGAAATGAGCATACATAAGTACAGAGAAAAATTATTCCAACTGGACAACAGGTGTAGAAACAAAATTTAATTAACTAGTTAACTGGTCGCAGTACTTTCAGACGACCGCAAAGTAAAATAAAATATAATCCGTGTGGGCGAGTATTTTACACAAAAGCTGAAAGTTCCGGGGGAACCATTGTCTCAGCTTGAACTCTCGGTCTTTGCAAATTTGATCTTTCTGTATCATATTTAATATATGACAGGCGATAGCTTTACCATGGCATGATCCGAGTTCCCAAGGACCGCGTAATAATAAACAGCAAGCACACAAGCACTTCCCTTTAGGAATTTCAAAATATCAAAAAGAAACCACATTTTAACAGGATATACAGAATTCAGTGATTTAGTGTGTTCTCATCAACTGTTTACAAACAATTTTTGAAAAGGATAGGCTACAGAGCAAGGACCATCAAGTTACAATGTTCTCGACGAAAATTTAAAGCAGTCAAAAATCGGAGAGTTCACATGAGCCGGTCAGAAGAAAGACGACACTAGCCTCGTCAGTGTAGGGCTCGGATGATCACGAAGTACGTTTGTTTGCACAAACGTCGTTTCAACCGGCAAATCGCCGAGGCCTCAGCGAACTGAAGTAGATGGGAGTAATTTGTTTGTTGATTACCTTAAACCCAACACGTGGGTTTTTGCACCCAGGGCAGTCTGGTACGTGGCATGCAATAGAGCTAGTGATTAATTTCGGACCATTTGCAACCATTAACAATGAACAATGATATACTACAGGTAAAAAAGCGATTGCTTTACAAGTCCCGTAGGATGGTTGAAGTGAAAGCAAACATAATTGTAAACAGTCAATTTAAGCGTCTAGTGAATTCAAGTGCCCCTTATTCATATAAACATTGTAGCAGGTTTACTGATTTTTACTGCAGAGTAATATGGGAAGTAATATGGGGAAGGCATGTCTTAAGAACAAGAGAAACGGCCAACGCTTACTCGTGCGCCGCTTTCTTGGACTGGGATGAAATGATGAATGCAGTTGTAATATATCCGAAACTATATTCCACAACAGCCGTGTGTAAGTAGTGAAACAAAATCTGAGAATGAGCACCGTTTTTCTTTCGCGTTTGTTGGACCTGGGAATCTCTGAATATATAGCGTACTGTAGGTGGATAAGCGAATCATCCAGACGTCTTTTGAATACCGTTAGCGTGGGGGAAGAAACAACGTTTGTGGGAAGAACGTTCCAGTGTTCGCATACACGAAGGGCAAAGAAATTCCGGTGGCATTCCAACCAGCCGTATTGTGTGTTCAGCTTTAGGTAGTGCCCTCTGAGTGTGGTATTGCCATTCAGCTTTAGTAGATGATGTCAAGAATGGTTTGGATTCCTCAGGATCATGTAAGTCATCATCAAGTCGCCACGCAGGCGTCGATATTATCCACTGTAGACCCCGAGGGTGTTCAGGCTCAATCGGTAAGGGAGATGAAACAGGCCCTTTACGTTCTTGGTCGCCCTTCTTTGTGGCAGTTCAATAGTGGTAAGGTCTTGATTTTGCTATGGTTTCTATGCTTGGATGACGTACTATGAATGAGGCCGAATGTAGGCGTTGAACATCTGAGAAAATATGGAAGGATCGAAGCGCCCGAATGCCCTCCGCAAAAGGCCAAAGAGTTGGTTAGCTTTTTTGGATGCTTTCTTGGCCTGACGGGAACAGCCCAGATCTTCCTGCACTGCCAATCCTAGGTCGCATTC